CAACTGTCATTTATATTTTAAAACATTGTTTTATAAAACAACGTTTTGAGATTAAAGATCGGACATGTTGACCAAGATCATTCATCGTAGTTCCTCTCCTCGAAGAATTCTAATTTTACGAAAGGTTAAAAAAAAAGATACCCAGATAAATCTTTTTGTTTTTAATCAGTGAAATACCACGCTTTCAGAACTTTCAGAACTTTTTTTAGTAAATAAACTCAGACGCTGAGTAACTGCGCTACAGGAGCACTAATAACACATAACACATTATAATTACACATGACAGAATGAGTAGAAAGTATCTAATATATAGGACTATACAACTTCAAGTTATTAAAACATAATAGACAGGGGCGGATCCAGGATTTTGGAAAGGGGGGGGGGGGGCGTAGTATTAAAGTTTGCCGATCGAAGCGAGTCGAAAAATTTGTTGGACCTTTTTTGGCTAAAAAACATAAAATAAGTGTAAAATGCATTTTATAGTTAAAGTGTAGGGGTTGGACATCTTTGGTGCCGTATTCTCTCCATTAATTGTCTATTATAAAATGATTGGATGGATCCAAAGCTATGTACTAATTAATATATTTGATGTGGGATTTGTCGGTAAAAAATGGACATGGAAAATTCTCGTTTGTTGCATGGTTAGTTAGCATAACCTCACATATTTCTTGTTGTAAACAAGATATATGGCTATTCAATGAAATTTACAATACGACCGACACGAAGAAAGACAAACAAACAATTTTTATCCAATGTTTGGTTGAACAACAAGGGAAGTGAGGGGTTCCAAATCAACCAAAGGCTACGAATGAGTCGGAAATGACAATGAAGTTATGAATGACGGTCGATACATGGAGACATATAGGCCACATCCAGCAGGCAGGTTGCAGTCGGGCCTTGAAAAAAGTATTCAGTATATCAGTTCGGCGAAACAGACATTCTGGTCAGATATGGGATTCACATGCAACCCCCCCCCCCCCCCCCCAAAAAAAAAAAAATTACGCCCGTTTTTTTATTCATCATGTTCATTTGATGCTTAATAATTCTGTTGAAAATATTTTTTTCTAATAGCAAAAAAGTGGATAAGATTATTGTTTTCAATCCAGATACGGCCAGAATCTTTGTTTAAGGCAAAATTCAGGGTCAGAATTTTTTCTCTAAAATATCTCAGACTGCCCCCTCAAATCAAATGGTCCGTACCTTAGACTTTAAATCTATATCTGGGGATCACTGTTCAGCAATGTTATTAATGGGCTTGGGCGTGTGGGGTATAAACATGTTTTCGTAGGTAAATAATATTGCTGTGGAACTTTTTGTATCATGAGAGTGTAATAGAGTATTACTTTCTGTTGGGTGGAACTGTGAAATAGAAGTCAATACGTTCTTGCTCAATACTTTGTCGCTTTGAAGGTGTCATGCTTGTCATTCTCGGCCTAAGCAATGTGTTACTGTAATTTGAATTTCAAAATGACCGAGTGAAGTTTTTTTCGACGTACTGGTCAACTCCACCGTAGCGAATCACATGACTTTGACATAATCAATAATATATTACAGTAAATACGAGCGAAAAATATCTTTATAAGTAAAAATTTGTCGCATAAAAATTAAATACACGGGAAATGGCAAAGTTCACGAAGTCTAGTCTGGTTAATCATTTTACAAAAAAAAAAGTGCAAGCAAAGGGGGGGCGTACGCCCTCTACGCCCCCTCTGGATCCGCCACTGATAGATACTAAAAATAATCGTAATACGGTGAATATGTTATAACGTATATTTTCAAAAGATAATACACAAGTTCATACTTCAACGATTTATTTTTTGTGTGCACCCGATTCGGTTCTTGTACATAACCACCACGTGTTAAAGAGAGTTTTCCCGTTCAAAAAATTTTTTTTTTTTTTTATTTTCTAGTTTCTTTCCTTTTCGCTTATATTTAATCAAATCTTATCCCTAACTCCAATGATAACAAATATTTGATTCCTCAGCACAGGCAATTAATTATTGTTAATTATTCAGTTTATTCAGATGAATAAAAAATTATAGCTCGCTTGCTTTCTCAAGAACAATATGAGTACCAGTAAAAGGAGAAAATATTGGTGCACAGTAATGAGCCATATGAGTATGGGATCCTGTCCCAAATCAGGAAAGAAAGAAGAGAAATAATTAATAAAAAACTTTATGTTATATTTAAAAAAAATATTACTTCTGGTTATAAGATAATATTTTTGAGATTTATTACGTTATTTAAAAATTTTAAATTCTGAATAAAAAAAAGGACGGTTAGATTATTTATATAAGTTGTACTTGTATTTGAAATCTTTATCCTGATAATCAGCCAACAATGTTACAATTTATCAGCAAATAAATTGTTGCTTTAATCGTATAATGTATTCAAGTAAATCAACCAATCAATCAATCAATATTGAAACTAGTCTTTACGTCACAGTTACATTTTGGATCCTTTTCCTGGTTGTAGTTTATTGAAAGCTATATCGATTTATTTGAAAACAAATGACAACGACTTGAAATTACAAAAAAAAAACCCTGAACGTTTAAAGATCAATGGTATATGCTCAATGGTAAATTGCAGGATGAGGATTAAACCAATCATATCAATTTGTTTGGAATGTATAAATAATTGTTCACGCTACTAACAGGAGAGATACTCGGTTGGTCTCTCTTTCCTTCCATTTCTAAGCGACTGTTTGCCGCTTGAATTATTATTAAAAATGAAAACTTATGGTTTATCAAATAGTTTTATAGATTTATTACAGAGCTACTTACAAAACAGAAAACAATGTGTAAAGATTAATAATATTTATAGTAATTTTGAAATTATGTTCAAAGGTGTTCCGCAAGGCTCCATACTTGGACCTATGCTTTTTAATATATTCATAAATAACATTTTTGGTGCAGTTGGCAATAGTATTATATTGTTGGACTGGTTTGATTACAATTTAATGAAAGCTAATCCAGATAAATTTCAAGCTCTGGGAATTGGCAAAAAAACTTTCTATGATATTGTTTTTAATCTTAAAGGAAATAGAATAGAATGTGAAAATGATGTAAAGCTACTGGGAGTCACACTTGACTACAGATTAAATTTTGATAAACATATATCTGAGATTTGTAAGAAGGCCTCTCGTCAACCTAATGTTCTAAAACGTATTGGTAGACCACTGAATAGACTTGGCCGTCTAACAATTTATTATTGTTTTATTTTGTCTAATCTTAATTATTGCCCAGTCACCTGGCATTTTTGAAGTGAAAAAAAAACACAGTTAAGATGGAACAAAAACCAAGAGAGAGCCTTGAGATTTGTTTATGAGGATGATAGCTCATATGAAGATCTTTTACAGAAGTCAAAACTTCCATCTCTTTAAGTCAGAAGATTACGAGCAATAGCTATAGAAACTTTTAAAACTATACACAAAAAGAGTCCATCTTATTTACATGATTTGATTAATATGAAAATCACAAATATTCCTTCAGATATAAAAATACATTTGAACAGCCCAAGGTGAGAACAACAAGCTATATGGCATCAATTCTTTTCGATACACAGCTGCAAAATTTTGGAATGAACTACCCCAGAGTTTTAGAGAAAAAAAACAATTCTTACCAATTTTCTAAACTTATTGTTACCTGGAATGGTAGTTCATGCCAATACAACGCCTGCAAATAATTGATGTTTTAATTTTTAGTGCTTTTTTCTGCTTAATGTGCTATTATTGCTTATATGTGTTTTAAAGTGCTTGATATGCTTTTAATATTGATTGCTTACGGTACTTTTAATATTTCTGCATAGTATAACATATTTAACTTCTTCATGTCATTTATATTGTATATGTATGCTTCAATATAATGATTTGCTTTGTGTATGTAGCTAGCTTGCTTTGTTTTAAACGTGCATGTTTTAAATGTTTTGTTTGTAATAAGACGATATAAAAGCTCAATATGTTTTCTGTATACTGATTTCGTCTATAAATAAAGCTTTTGAACTTGAACTTGAAATTAGTAATTACACATAAATTATATATTATCCGATGATGACAGTAATTTTAGGGGGAAATGCCGTTAGTCTTGCAATATAAGAAAACGATAAAGTAATGTTAAAAATAAATTTTGAGTTTTTTGCTCCGTGTTGAAGGCCTCACTGTCACTTTGAGATGAAGAACAGCAACAAACGCGCTGTTCCTTTGCTTTTAATATGTTTTTTTTGCTGTGCATGTACTGATTTTGTGTCATGGATGGATACCCCATATCTTTTGTTTTTCTATTATATAAGAATAATTTATTCACTGAGTACGAAAGGATCTATTTACTGAACTAGATAGAATTATTATAATAAATTACATTATATATTCAGAATTATTATAATAAATTACATTATATATTCAGAATTATTATAATAAATTACATTATATATTCAGAATTATTATAATAAATTACATTATATATTCAGAATTATTATAATAAATTACATTAAAAATCAGAGTTATTATAAAAAAAATCATTGTATATTTAGAATTATTATAGTAAATTACTTTATACATTCATAAGAAGTCGAAGTGCATTTCAAATACAGACTGAAAAAAAAAATATTTCTGCCCTCCTATCGTCTTCTAGAACGTGTCCTACTATCTAATTACATAAAATTTGACATTAATTTTACTGCTGGCAATTGTGTTACTAAATGACAACATATTGGTATATTTTTATTAATATTTAGGCATTTTTCGGGATGAGTTCGGAACAGTTTTACACATACTAGAAAGTTTTGATAGAATTATCTCCCTTTTTGGCTAATAGGTGGCGGTGCGTTTTATTTATGTCATGGCCGAACAAGACAACAAATTTTAAAAACAGTTTTACAGTTTTTATCCTGATGACAAGAAACAGTAAATACACGAAAACTTTTTTAGTTTAAACAACAGTTAGCATATTCTAATGTAAATTTGAGCTTTCTAATGCGTGCATTAATTTGTTTTACAGCTTGTTTTAGAAAGCCGCCGACCTCCGTAAACGTGCATGAACACGATCATTTCTTGTAAACCAAGTTGTATATGGTGTGAATTTATTCTATAAGAATACAGAAAAAACGGAACGATTGCATACTTTGTAGTAAGCTCAAGAACTATCATATATTCTCATGTTCAAATCTACAGGTGAGGTCACAATCACTTGTTTCAATGAGCAAATAAAGTTCTATTGATAAATCTGGTGTATAAGATGGTCTAATTTGTGCACTTTCAGTTAATTTTCCTATGTCATAATGTTTATGTTATTACGTCTCAGTAAAAACCGATTGTCCGATGACATTGTTAACGCTGAATGACCTCAGGTCAACTGGTGTAACTCATGTATACATAAAAAACAAAGAGATTGGTGTATATGCAGGTAAAGGGTACCCTTAAAGTAAATACAGTGTACATGTATACAATTGGAAAGAAAAAATTTCCTCAAATAAAATTTAGTATTAAACATGAAATTTGATAAGGAAATGACTTGAAAATATTGTTTTAAAGCAGAGATGTGTAGTATGAGGCAGAGTTCTCGATAAGTGGTGGTCCTAGGGATTTGACCACCACATTTTTGGGAAGGACCAACACAATTTTGGTAATTTGCAATAGAAATGATAGTGAGGACCTTCATGTTTTATTCAAGGACCACCAGGCAAAAAAAGATTTCGAGAAAACTGATGAGGTGGTTACATTGTGGAAAGAAAGAGAGAGGGCCTTTTCCATCGCGTAAAACAAGTATCTGTACTACAAGTCTTAGAGCTTTGTCATGAAGGAACCTTAATTATAATCTACAGTCTGTGCAAATTTACACATACCCTTAAGTCTGGAATTTTGGTTCTACCAGTAAGTCTATTCATTTTGTTAACTTAATGCTAACAACAAAACATGATCCACTTGTAGAACAAGCAAACAACAGCCACCAGTATGATAGTTTTTCATATGTTTCAAAAGGTTTACAAATGGTAGATTTATAAAAAGTTAAAGTAAGCAGCTGTATTTAAGAGCAGAAATTGTATCTATAGCTCAAAAGAAGTGTAACTTAAAAATAAAAAATTGTACCGTGGATTCCATATATATATAACCTATAACATGTACAATATATTCATTTCAGTTTTTTAAAATTGTGGACTTGAATTAATTATGGGACCAAAACCAGCAGAACTTTCCAGTGAAGATAGACGTAAGTTTTAAAACTAATCAGTCTTCAATTATACTCCAAAACTGGCCTGATATATATGCTTAAAGGAAGGAGAGTTTTTATGCCCCACCTACGATAGAAGAGGGGCATTATGTTTTTCGGTCTGTTCGTCCGTCTGTCCCACTTAAGGTGTTAAAGTTTTTTAGTCAAGGTAGTTTTTGATGAAGTTGAAGTCCAATTAACTTGAAACTTAGTACACATGTTCCCTATGATATGATCTTTCTAATTCTAATGCCAAATTAGAGTTTTGACCCCAATTTCACAGTCCACTGAACATAGAAAATGATAGTGCGAGTGTGGCATCCGTGTACTATGGACACATTCTTGTTTTAAAATCATTTCAATAGTACGCTGTAAATGTCTAAATATAATGCATTGTGTGTGCATTTAACATAGCCTTGAACAGGTATATTGGTTCCTAAGTACATGTGTAGTTAATATTTAGAGTAGTACATTGTCAGTTTTCACTTGTTATGTGTTACTTATAAAATTACAAAAATGTATCTTTGAAAAATCACATTTTTAATGAAAAACCTGTTACTATAATATTATAAAACAAACTTGGAAAATCATTCTCAAACTATGGCATTTTTTTTTAGGCCAGACATTTTCTTAAAAATCCAACCATTGACAATATATCTACAAAAAATTACCTTCAGGTTTCCTGTCAAATTTTTCGTCTTTGGTTTATCTGTCTTACTTCCTTGGACCCCTAACTTTGAGTTTCCTTTTGTAAAGAAGTCACCCTGAGAGCCCCAAAAACAAAATTGTCTCATTGCATTGTAATGTTATGAAATTATCTTTTTGGTATGTTTTATGTCGATTGCCTTAGGTCAAGCAACAAAACATAAAATGAATTGTCAAGAAGTTTAAGCAACCAAAATAACTTTCCTTTATCAAATTACATATTTCAAGAATATTTTGAAACTAGATTTAAATTTTTTAACATGTTTAATACAAAATTTTTTGAAGAAACAATTAATATAAGCAAAAACTGAAAGTCTGCCAGGTGTTGCTAACTACCAGTGGGGAGATCCAAACTCTAAAATGGAACGACACAGACCTTGGACTTCAACTAATTTGAACCCCTGTTAAACCTTAATAAACAAGCATGTTGTTGGACTTCTAACTACAATCACAATTCTTGGATGCAGTGAAAAACTGAAAATGTATTGAGTTTCAGTTATAAATTTATTCACAGGTATTGTAAGCCAGGCCAATACATTACTAGAACAACTGAATGCAGGCAGTCCTATTGGTTGTGTTGAAGATATCAATTCTCAAGTTTATGTCACCTTGTTTGAAGGATTATGTGGAGAGAAGCTAAATGGTGAGGAAATGAAAACTTAAAATGTGAAGTTAAAAATGATTGTCAAGTAATTACTTTTAAATTAAACTTTACATAATACAACAAAATGGAGCATTAAAACCCACAAATTCCATTTGATTTTATCATAACATACAATACCATTTTGTTGTAGAAATTATAGCATCACATCCATATTAACACATAAACTATAAAAAAATCTTTTCAAATAACATTCAAGCAATATAGCATCACATTTACATGATCCTAAAAGACCTTGTGGAAAAAGTCCACTGTGGAAATTCTGAAACTTTTTTTAATCACAACAGCATGTATAATCACAGCAACTGAAGCCAAAGAAATATATTGTAGCTAGACATATACATTTTATTGTCAGCATTTGTTAAGTTTATTTGACCAGACACACATTTTGTGCTTTTGGAAAATTGACAGATATTTCAACCTGCATTAAGATTTTTTGTCGAGTCTGCGACTTTTGTCGCAGAAAGCTCGACATAGGGATAGTGATCCTGCGGCGGCTACTTTTTTACTTCTTAAAAGCTTTATATTTTAGTAGGTGGAAGACCTGGATGCTTCATACTTTGTATATGGATGCCTCATGTTACGAAGTTTCCGTCAGTCACATGTCCAATGTCCTTGACCTTATTTTCATGGTTCAGTGACTACTTGAAAAAAAGTTAAGATTTTTTGTAATGTTAAATTCTCTCTTATTATAAGTAATAGGATAACTATATTTGGTATGTGCGTACCTTGCAAGGTCCTCATGCCTGTCATACAGTTTTTACTTGACCTCGACCTCATTTCATGGATCAGTGAACAAGGTTAAGTTTTGGTGGTCAAGTCCATATCTCAGATACTATAAGCAATAGGTCTAGTATATTCGGGGTATGGAAGGACTGTAAGGTGTACATGTCCAACTGGCAGGTGTCATCTGACCTTGACCTCATTTTCATGGTTCAGTGGTTATAGTTAAGTTTTTGTGTTTTGGTCTGTTTTTCTTATACTGTATGCAATAGGTCTACTATATTTGGTGTATGGAATGATTGTAAGGTGTACATGTCTAGCTGGCAGGTGTCATCTGACCTTGACCTCATTTTCATGGTTCAGTGGTTATAGTTTAGTTTTTGTGTTTTGGTCCGTTTTTCTTATACTTTATGCAATAGGTCTTCTATATTTGGTGTATGGAATGATTGTAAGGTGTACATGTCCAACTGGCAGGTGTCATCTGACTTTGACCTCATTTTCATGGTTCAGTGGTCAAAGTTAAGTTTTTTGAGTTTTGGTCTTTTTTCTTATACTACATGTACTATATGCAATAAGTCAACTATATTTGGTGTATGGAAATATTCTATGATGTACATGTCAGTCTCGCAGGTTTTATTTGACCTTGACCTCATTTTCACGGTTCATTGCTCAGTGTTAAGTTTATGTGTTTCAGTCTGTTTTTCTTAAACTATAAGCAATAGGTCAGCTATATTTGTTGTATGGAAGGATTGTAAGCTGTTCATGTCTGCCTGGCATGGTTCATCTGACCTTGACCTCATTTTCACAATTCATTGGTCAATGTTTAGTTTTCACGGTTAAGTCTGTTTCTTAGAAACTATAAGCAATAGGTCAACTATATTTAGTGTATTGAATGATTGTAAGGTGTACATGTATTTCTCGTTTGGTTTATATGACCTTGACTTCATTTTCTTGGATCATGTTAAGTTTATGTAATAGTTGTAGTAAAGCTTTCATTTAGGATATTCAACATAACATCAATGGTTAGTAAAGAAGGCGAGACATTTCAGCGTTAGCACTCTTGTTTAATTAAGGTCAGCTTGAAAGCCTAAAACTTAAACTTTTCCAATATTAATTCATGCATTAAGATATGTTGATGACAAAATAAGACCCTGACTTTGTTAAATTGATTTTTGGTATGCTATATTTTCTAAGTAATTTTGACCACTGGTTACTTAAAAAATAAACTGATGAAATGCCAAGGTTCATACTACATGTACCAAGCGAAAGAGCAAAGAAGATAGTTTCCTTTTCATCATTTTGCTTTCTTTTAACTTCAAGAAGGGGCATCTGTCTCCTTCAGCAATTCTGTGGTATGAGGACAACAGTAATGAAATACATTTGTAGAGTGAAATATGTATATAGATGTGTACATTTCAAACTTTTGCTATTTGGGGTACCTAATTTTGTGGTTTTGTCATTTGCTTTATCAAAGTAACTAAAGATTTGTATTTATTTGAAAAAGTTAATTCATAGTTTACCACTTTCCATGAAAATCCAGGAATAATTATGAATCCACAATATATTTCTGCATTAATTTGTTAATACATCACTAAAGTTGCTCTTTTTTAAAGATTTCATTTATTTTTGTCCTTTTCTCTAGGTATTATAAGGACTTCTGTTACCACAGAGGATGAAATTCACAATGTCCAGACAGTTATCGACACCTTGGCTGCAGATGTCTTGCATACATCCCTATTGCATATAAATGGAAGAGATGTCGTCAACTCCAATAGAGAATCTGTCCTTAATCTCTTAGAAATCTTATCTGGACTACTTGAATATATTTTTAACAAAATTGAAAGTGATTTATCAACAGATAATGAAGAAGGTATGTTTTCTCTTAAAAGATGTCTCTTTGTATATCTTCAATGCATGTATAAGTTTTTTCTTGTTTTAATTGAATTGTATGGCAACAATGCATTAAGATACATACACCCTCATAAACGTTGTTAAGTGGGAAGTAGATAGACTCTTAAATTCCCAGAAATTCTGAAGATAGAGCAATTGTAGAATTTTTATCTATATACTTAAAAATGGGGTTGAGCATATTTCCTAAATGCTAAAAGGTCTTTTTAACTAGTGATGAATCAATTAGTAATTGTTAGTTAATTTGTTTTGCATCATATGTATCTGTGTAAAAAACTGGATATATGTAGAAAAAAACACCCTGTAGGAAGATGTGTACATGTACATTGTAATTTGCATATATATGTATAAACAAGTTACATAATATCTACCCATCTCGACAACTTATCTCCTACATTCTATAATAGTATCATAGTTTTAAAGATAGTTGTTGATAGACACAATGTATATTGTATTTGTTTTCTACATATTTTTTTCAGGTGAAGGTTTAGATGATGATCCAGATGCTTTGCAGAGAGATATGATAGACAAAATTCTGGAGAAAGAACTAAATCGTACATCAGACACCATTACCAGTAGTCCTGAGAGGAGAGATATTAAAAAATCTTCAGTTTATTGGGATGAAGAGTAAGTTAACTGTAATATACAGTTATACATAAAATATTAGGGGTCTCTGTGGCCGAGTGTTTTAAGTAGTTCATCTACAGTATCACTATCCTTTTGACACTGAGGTTGCAAGTTTGATCCCTGTATGTGGCAGGTGTATTAGACTCTGATCTTAATTGACTAGGATTGCAAATTTCCTGTCATACGTCAGAAAGCTTCAGACACTCTGGCTTCCTCCACCAATAAAAGATGGCCTCAAAGATATGACAAAGCATGCTGAAAGTGGTGTTTGACACTAACCATCAATCATTCATAAAATTTAAAGACTAAATACAATTTATAGCATAAAAAAAGTAAGAAGTTAAAGGTGTAATCAAAATCATATTGGAAAAAGGGCAACCTGACCAATAGAAAAAAAAGCAGCTGCCATAAATAGATAAGGTTCTAGAAGCACACAAAATTTATCTTTTGATAGATGTGTACAGTTACTGTACACATAAGAAAGCCTCACTTACTGTATAAAGCCTTGTTGGCAACATTGATAATGTGTTCTCATGGAGTTTTATTTGTGGCATGGAAGCATACAGGTTCACAACATTTTTATGCCTTCTGCATCAAATTCATAATTGTTGATTTTTGCCAAAATATTTCATTTGGAACAGTTTTGATAGTACAACCATACGTTGTCTCAAAACATAAATTTTGATTTGTTCTCGGCTCACACTTGGATAGTTTATCTGTTTCTAAGACTAGTACAAATTTGTTTATATTTTTAGACACGGTATGGTTATTCTGTAGGAGTCTTCGTATGTGTTCAACTTTAAAGCTAATATATTATGGCCATGTGTATAAGGTTTGAAAAGCCAAACCAGCATAAAAACTTTTACAAAATGTGCTTGTAGACAAAGAAAATAAGGAATTATAATAATAAAAGTATTTAGGGATGTCAACTTGGTGAAGATTTACTAATCGAGTACTCGTTGAATTTACCGAGCGATACTAGAGTACTCGCTCGGAAAAACATATACAAAATGGAAACACAAAATTAAACCCAATTTACGGTTGTGGGGAGTTGTCTTACGGACGTAAAACACTCAACATTAATACCTTGGACTAGATAATAGTCCCAGGAATTTTATACCATAATTAATAGCTCATTTACTACATGTACTAATTATGTAAACAAGCAATAATCTAATCAGTTAATTAATAAATATCTTTAGAAAATTGATTACTAAAACAACTGTTACAGTATTTGGGAATCGTAAAGAAACACATTTATGATCAACAAAAGGGTGATGAATAGGACTTTAACCATTCTCTGAGGGTCGACACATGGTGCAACGAGTTTGTTCTTATTTAGAAATATTATCTTGTCAACTTTTTCTGGGACAATTCAATTTTTCCACCTTGTTTACGTAACTAACAGCCCTGCTGATGAAAATATTTGCTCTGGCGGTACAGAGGTCACCTTGGTAGAATGACTAGGACACGATTAGCTAAAAGTACAGGCCTTAGAAAGGTTCTCTTGTTCATAGCGCATTAGGGAATTTTAAATGACAATTAAACGCAAACATTCGAAGCGTATTATTATTTTGATTGATATTTAATTTTCCGGGAGGCGCTCTTAATAAAAAAAAATTTTTAAGAAGGCAACAACATTTTAACAAAACAAAAAAAACGATTAGTCGAGTATCATTTTGGTATTCGATACTCGGTACTACCGAGCGATACTCCAGTACTCGAGTACTCGTTGACAACCCTAAAAGTATTATATCTTTTATTTTTAACTCTGCCTACATTAAATTTGATTCATACTATGTTTAGGCCTGATGTGAGTAGAAGATCTGCGAAGTCTGGGAGTGAAACAGATGATTTAATAGCATTAGGACATGAGAGTCCTACAGGACTGATAGATACTATTACAAGTATATCTAGAGGTAAGGCCTCATTTTCTGCCATAATTAAGTAAAATACTATTACAAGTATATCTAGAGGTAAGGCCTCATTTTCTGCCATGATAAAGTCAAGTAAATTGATATTAAGGCTGGTTCAGAAATAAATGCATGGGCTCTTTGGAGTCATTCCCTATTGAATACCACAATTATTAGTTGTGCATAAAAACTTTAGAAATTAAATAATCAAGTCAAATAGTTTAATTGTTATAACAAGCATAATGATCAAGAATTTTATTTTGTTGAAGCATGTTTCCAGTCATAAAAATCAATGGAAAATAGGCATGTTTAAATTGAATTTGGTAGATAAATTGAAATTAATGCAAATTGTTATGACATAAATAGAATACTGACAGTGGGAAATCTAGTCACAAAATATTACCTCCCATGTAAACACTGAAAACTAGATCTTTTGAATGTTTGTCCCATTTTAGTAAAGACGCTATCAATTATAAATTCACGGAAAAATGTTCTGGTATAAATAATAAATTCCTGGAGTACCAACTTCAATTCATTTTTTTAACTGGCTGTATACCTCTCTGGAACATGCTAATTATCCGTATATATATACAGTTAGATCAGAGAAAGTCAGGCAAAAAATTCCAAAGGAATCGATAGATATGCAGCAAAGATTAGCACTTTTGAAATTAAGTTACTAAGCAAATTCAAAGGGACCTTATCCCGATGTAAACATTGAATGTGAATAGATCGAGAAGACCTTTTCTTAAAATTGTGTAAAAAATAGTAAAAAGATGCTTACTTTATAAGAATATTTATCTTTAATTGTTTAACCTGCGCAGACAGACTTTTACATTGTTATATTCATGAAAAGACAATATTTCTTTATTGAATTGTAATGTGGCAAGAGCGGACCGGTGTACTCGAAAACTTAGAATGTGAAAAATAAATATATTTTGGGAAATTGTAATATGCTAAGGACTTTGCGGTACACTCCAAAAATTTGTGACCCGAAAGATCTTTAGATTTGGTATGTACATGATTTTTCCCAATTTTATTTATCAATATGCAGCAAAGTTTGGCATTTTTTAGATTTCAGTTTCACAAGCTTCTAATGCAATTATCTCGATAAATACTGTACATAGTGTATTTGCATGTTTATTTTTCATAACACAGTTTAACAAATTATTTCTTTAAAATGTACAATTGTTATTTAGAAATAACTTTTGATCAGTGTCGTCACCGGCATTGTTTTATTATTGATTTTCTCGACTCTATCATAAGATGAGGTAATTTTCTTTTGTTCTTTTTCACTAGATTTCCCACTGCTGATACAAGAATTTTCTAAAATAGACTAACTTACTATTAATTTGTTTTAATTGCATACATTGTTAAAATGGCCATAAAATCTAAATTTGAAATTTTGTCTATGAGTACGGGTCATATTTGGGACCTTATCATGTCTACTTCTTTGAATGACACATTTTATATGATTTATAGAATATTTATATACAATTACTCCTTTTGATGAGGTAAATTTGATGTGGTTTTATGTTGGCCTGAGTGAATATCAGTTTTATTCAAAAGTCAATTAAACCACATATTTACTGAAACAAAAGACAGTAATTGTTTTATTCTGTATTTCGAGAGAGCAAATGTAGTTAATGACACATATTTACCAAAACCAATTGTACTTCAAACAATCTAACCATAATCATACACGTAAAAGCCCGCAACGTTTTGTGCTGTGAATAAACTTTTTCCTCTGATAAATATACTGTTTTATTCAAAATCCAATTCATATACTAAAATACTAAAAATCTATCAGTATGGAATAAAGCTTTTTGTTGATTTTTGTGGCTAACAAGAACAAAGAATTAAAATGTTAAAAATCAATGAATCAATGATTATCCTATAAACCATGAAAGCTGAAATCCATGATTAAAAGTAGTTAGACATTAATATACATTGTTTTGAACAGTTATTTTGAAGAAAGGATTAATAAAACATACAACCCTGATCAAAAGACAAAGAACATACATAGAAACAAACAAGAAAAGCATGAAAAAGCAACTGTGAATACTAAATATACTAAAAGTGCATCTAAGTTGTTAACTTAATTAGAAAAAATTAATTTGAAGTACTATAAATCATGTGTAAAAACTATGACTAAAATTCTTGTAACAATAATATTTATTTAATTTAGGTAACGATTCAACAAATGAACTGATAAGGGAGGGTGAGAATATTGAGAGAAGAATGGCAACAAGAGTAACATCAGTGGTAAGTCATAGTAAAATTTTCTAAAAACTATTTCTTACACCTTGATTAAGAATACCATTGAAAGGTGGTTATTTTGAGAACATTGTTGTACTTTTAACCAATTTTTCTCAGTATGTTATTGGCCAAAATTTGCTGATTAACTATGAACAATACAAACTCGCTCAGTCAAACTGTTCGAGTGTGAGACCAAAAGTGACCATAATGTTGCTCATAAATTAAATGATGAAGTTTCAATTGTATTGTTAAACTCAAGGTAAAAAAAATTGGCTTATGTATCTGGCCAAAATTTATCTAAATTTATCACTTTTACTGATCACCACCATGATTGGAATTTGAGTTTGTTATAGTGACTTTGAAAAAGGGTGCTCTTGATCTTCTTGGATATAATACAGTTTGTGAGTTACTCATTGAGTAATGGATTTCTTTACCCATAAACTGTTTTTGAAGTCTGACTAAATCAAAATGGATTTAGTTTCATGGTGGTTTATTGCTTTTATTGCTCTAAAAGTCACAGTGAGGGCTTCAACACAGACCAAAAGCTCTCAACTTATTGTTAATTTGAACACAGCAATAGCACCAGTTTGAAAACATATTCTTTGCTAGATTTAATTCACTATACAACTGGTGCGATGAAGAACACAGATGAGTGGTAATATCAACAAATTACAGACTATTGAAAGGAAAGAAATCCAACATATTGTGATGACAAATGCACTACATTTTTATTGATTTATTTAGGAAGAAGATATAGCTCGACACAGAAGAGAATTAGGACTCAACAAAAGAGAGGAACATCTACCTGAACCTGCTGTTAATAGATATTGTAAGTCTGACATGTATTATTATTTGTTGGTTTAAATCTGTTCAATAATATCTATAAAATTATTGAGAAGGAAATACAACTTTTTGTGATCGAAAGCTGAATGAAAAGATTTTTGTATTTTTATAAAGTTTAGAGGTTATAGTTAGAATTTGTTATAAATCAATAACAATTGGTCAAAAGGTTATACCAGAAACATGTGTGGAGCACGTGGAAATTAGAAGCATATTTAGAGGTCCCAAGAAGAATTTTATTGTTAGCTAGATGTTTAGAGAAATAAGTGCCACCTAACAAAGTCTTACCATACTAAATACTAGCATGTTTGATAAGTCAATGTTTTGTACGCATTTGTTGATAAAAAAAAATGTTACCGTTATATTTAAACTCATTTAAATATCATGTTCTGTATTTATTGCGAAGAATTTATATATTCATAAAAAAATGTCTTTACAGTTTTTCACATATTTAAGGCACTTACAGTTAAATACTTAACTAGAAAGTTTGAAATAATTACAGTTAGATTGATTTCGTATGACTTATGACCTGCTTATAATTTTTAATTGTTTTACTTAACACAAAATACAAGTTCAAATTCATTGTTTTCAGATCAGACTACCGTGCCACAGACAGCTTCAGAAGAAAAGGATGATTTATTCAGACGAAGATCTAGGTATTCAAGTCATTATAATACAACCTTATGCTTCATATATCTAGTGAAATACATATATATATATTGAATTTCAGGGTAGGAGAGGAAGATTTTTGGTAAAATTCTTGTATACATATTTAACATTGATTATATTTGTTTTAAAGACTTTGTATCATCTAAAAGTATCTACCTCCCTCCTACATCTTTATAGATAAATTTGATAAAATAGTAAGTTTGAAAGTGGGAATGATTTCCTCATATTTGTTTGAGATCTTCTGCTTCATGTATAAGACTTTCAAAGTAGCCATAAAGAAATATTGATTGCCTTGAGTTTTATTTTCTAGTAAAATTTCATGATAAATTTTATGTAATATGTGACTTGCTTTTGGATACTCTGGCAAATTTGCATGTTTTAGTTTAGAAATATTATTGCATGAATTTGAATACGAATTTATGGATGTATGTTTGTATTACAGAGTTGATACTTATAAAACTTTAGACTCTATGGTAGAAGAAACTGCTGCCTTAGCCAGAGCTGCAGTTGATGCTAGTCCGTCTAGAGCTAGGTCTATATTACAAAGCTTAGATAATGATTATAATCAGGCTAAACAATTGGCTCAGAGGTAAGTTTAATGACTTAAGCCAAGAATCTGAATTTGTTTTCATGGGTTATTGGTTTTTTTCGGGTTTGGCAGGGAAAATGTGTTATTATTTTCTGTTGCATCATTCTTCCTTTCATCTGAAATTATTATTTTAAAGTTTTTATTTGTAGATGAATTAGTATCAAATAAAATGACTCCTGAGTAAAAAAAAAAACAAATGAAGTGATTATTCAATTTATTTTGAAGTATTTCTTTTCTAACTTTAAATCCGACTTGGTAGATTATGCTCACCTTGAATGCAGGCGGTAAAGTATTTGATCCCCAAATTGATCAAACCAAAGACTTGTGCTTAATTGTCTTCTACTCTGCCAGGCACCAGTATTTAGGTGTAAAAATAGTGATTTGTTCACTTAAGAGTCATGAATTATTCTGGATAGGGTAAATCCAAAATGACTTATTCTGGGAGTTTTTTCATAAAAAATTGATGCAGCATGTCAGACTTATACAAGATGGGTATATTTATATAAATTTGAAACATTTTTGTTTTGAACATGCATTTGTAATATTTGCCATCAGTTGTTAAGCCCTGCACTCTCATTTAAAAAATTTTAAGGAAAAAGAAGAATGTGATTTTGAATTATGCTTACCAATTTACACAGGAACAATGTGTTTAAGATCTGACTGAAAATCATTGTTTAATTTATGGTCTATTAAGAATTTGATCCCAGTGAATAAAGTTTTTCAATAAGTATATAGTACCGGTATGCTCATGTAATAGGTAAGAATATATTGGTGAAGTACAAGTCAAAAGTTTTTGAGCAAACTTTAATAAAATTCTTTTATTATTTCAGAGCCAGATTAGCCTCACCAGAAATAGAGCCAGTATCCACAAGAAGAAATCCTTTATTGTCAGATATACCAAAGGGAATAAGTCCAACAAAAAAGCCAAGAAGTCCAGTGCGAATGACTGAACAAGAAATTGTTTCTGATCCTGATGTACGTAGATATAAGAAGATGTGGTATGAGTGCCAATGAGACAACCCTCCATCCAAGTCAAAATTTATAAAAGTAAACCATTATAGGTCAAAGTATGGTCTTCAACATGGAGCCTTGGCTCACACCGAACAGCAAGCTATAAAGGGCTCCAAAAATTACTAGTGTAAAACCATTCAAACTGGAAAACCAACAGTCTAATCTATATAAAAAACGAGAAACACTTATGAACCACATCAACAAACGACAACTACTGAACATCAGATTCCTGACTTAGGACAGGTGCAAACAATTGCAGCGGGTTTAAACGTTGTCTTTTTGGATATTTATTATTTCATTAGATGCCTTTTTATTTTAAAGACGATTGACACTAGTATTTCTCCTCAACGAAACACAAGACATATACACATGGCATTGCAATACATGTTACATATTGATTAACTGAATAAGTGTCTTATATTGCTACATAAAAAATGAAGTATCTTATTTTGTCATAAAAAGACAGAAATTAAATGATTACAATAACTTAAAAATTTACATATGGTAAAAGAAAATAAACATACAACTACATGTTAATATCTATTGAATTTACCAATTACATAAGTTATTGAATTAGTTAATATTTGTTCCATTTTAGTCACCTGACAGAGGAAAAAGGAAAGTGTCTTTTATGGTAGACAGATCAGATTCTAGTCCTAGTTTCACAGCCCCAAATTGGAGGTGAGTGCTGCATATGTACTTGATTATGGGGTTGGGATTGGTATTTAAAAAAAATCTATTCAAATATTCAGTTTTTGTTGTATTGATAGATTTTTCATTTATCATATAGACAAAACAGCTATTTTCAAATTTAAGGTTTAAATATTTGATTGTTTGACTGGGCATAAAGTACATGAACTTGCTTAAGTTCCTTTTATTAAGATTGAACTTTCCTGTTGTATATATTTAAAAACAAAATTATATTTTTGTTTTTGTCATTTATTTTCCACCATAAAATTATACACATATGTCCTCAATTTAGATCAGGACGTCCAATAAAATCATCCTGGGATGACTCCTCATCATATACAGAACATTCAAAGACAGCATACAAACCACAGAAGACACGTAAAGATTATGGAAGTTATCTGGACTATGGGAGTGATAGGGAAAATTTGTCATATGATGATCGTTTAAAGAAGAAGTAAGTCACAGTGACCCACATTGAAATAACTGGTTTCCCCTGTCTTTAAAACTTGGTTCATTTCTATTTTAATCAATGAAGGTTCTACACTGAAAGCTTCTTGTTATATTGTATGTAAGGGATAGTTTATCTGTAATATTTGGTAATACTGAAAATATTATTGTAGCTATGTTGAATATGGTCCTGTTTCTTCACTCTGAAGATAGAATATATATATCCTTTAACCATGAGTAACTGCTTTGACAAATTCAGAAGATATAACATTTTATTTCTCAAGACCTTCCAAAAATAATTAAGCAGGTATTAACTATTAGTTCTTTTGGGTTATTTTTAGGTTGAAGTATCAAAAGAAAATAGATCAATGATTTTAATTTTAAGCATGGTCAGAATTTACACAATATTTCTTATTTTACCTTTTAGTATGTTTTTCTTTGAAATAAACAAAATTTAATGTCTGTCCGTATAGGTTTCATGAAATAATTGATGACGTGTTGAGTGAGGATGAAAGGCTTCCTCCAAGATACAAGTCCAGATCAGATCAACACAGAGTTAGGTCTGAGAAACTTGTTGGTAAATCCAAAGGAACCTATAATGTAGTTGATGCACAGAAATTACTGAAGAAAGAAAGAGAAACGAGTAAAAAGAAAATGGATGTAAGAAATTTATATTATCTTATGCAGAAATTTTGTATAAAGAACACATATAGTGAATCTCAAAAGTTGTTCCAAAATATTCTTTATTTGATGATGGAAATATGCATTATGTGTGCAGATACATTTTTAAAGTTAACTTTATCACAAGTAACTTAGTTTAGAAAATTAATGTGTCATACCTTTTGTAATGCAAACATACAACTCAAATTGAAACAAAGGAAAAATTAGTGTGGTTTGTTAATTTCTAAATAATATATTTTTTTATTCCACTTTCAGTTTTTACAGAAAATATACAAAGAAGATTTAGATGAAATGGCTTTAGAAGCAGATGAAGGGTTAGATATGGACAGAAAAGCTGCAAAACAAACAGTAATTATTTTCCATTAACATGCTTGTATTTGTCCATGAATTGCATAAGGATTGTCAGATGAATAGTTTCAAGTAGATAATAGCAACATCATTATCCAATATCTAAGCCAATATGTATCAATAATTTGGAAATAGTATTTTTTTACTATTTTTCCAAAGTTTAGATAAATTATTTCTCTGAAAGAATCTTTATTGATAGGAATTGAATTGGAAAAAAGTCTGTATGCAGTACAGGTTAGTTGTTTAAAGGGTGGTACTAGTTCTCCCCATTCTGCATATTGATATTGTAAAACTGCTGCAAGTCACAGTATGAAGTTGTTTGGCAAAAGAGCACACTGAACTAGCTGAATTAGTTTCATATTGTGCCGAGCAGTATCAATGAAAAGAAAATTAGATTACTGGTGTTATTAGAATATCATCTTTGGGTCAAACATTATGATGTCAATCAAAAATCTGAACATCAAAGATATTACGCCAGGTCAAACACATACAATGTTACATGATATGAGATTTTGTTAAAAGCTGAGCTTTAAAAAGACTAATAAATTTTGCATGGTTTCCAAGCTAAGGTGATTTAAACTGTGATTTGATATTTATTTCTATAGCCCGTTCATCTTGTGAAATATAATTTTCCTACTCAAGAATACGGTACTTTTAAATGTACTTAGAATAACAAAATTAAAAAAATACAATGATTGAGCTGTAACTTTTATTACTTACAGAATAATTGTTGTAAGGTTTTAAAACGATGTCAAGATACAAAATAGCAGGGTTGTTTTGTTAAATTTTTAATTTTTAATTTTTTTCACAATGATGTTGTCTCATGTCTCCAAACCAAATATTCCTTTTATACAATGAAACTTATAATTCCATTAAATGTCCTGAAAGAAACATTTATCAATATACATTAAGAAATTTGATGAAGATTTTACAGGGTATTAGTATTGTCTCATTTTAATAGTGTTGTTTTGTTTTGTCTATAGGAAAATGAATATAAGAAAAAAGTCCTAATATCTCCTCAGAAGAAGTTAGCACCGAAGACCAAAACTGCAGGCAAGTAGTAAAGGTTATATTTTGTTATGGAGGAATTATCATCCACAAATTTATTTAACATCTTCACAAATCAACATTTTTATTCTTTATATTATTGAAAAAAAAAAGAAACAGAGTACAGTCGAACCTTGTTGTGTTGAACTCCGTTGTGTCGAAAACTCGGATGAGTCGAAGTAATTTCTTGGTCCCGGTAAAATTTCCGTTTGCTCAATGCATAATTACCTCTGATGAGTCAACCTCGGTTGATTCAAATACTTGGTTAAGTCGAGTAATTTTATAGTCTCGTCGATGTAAAATTAATGTAAATTGACCTCAATGTCTAGAAGTTCGAAAGTAAGCAATTTCAAAAGATACAAACTAATGATGAAAATTCAAAATGGATGTATTTCTTATGTAACCTAATCATTTTGAAAAGAGATTAAAACTGAGTAAACATACTTGTTTGTATAACAGTTAAAATGACATGTTTATGGTGACCGGTAATTAACACCTTTGTTGATCGTTCAAGCAAAACGTTAGTGTGTTGAACATATTTCACCTGCCATAAGAAAGAAACGAATTAAATGACCCAAGCCGAGATTAAATGAATAGTTTCAATTAAAACTCATTAATTACAATAAATAAAACAATTAAGACAATAATGTTAAATTTATTATAATTTAATGCAAAGTAAATGACCTCACTAGAGACCATTCAGAACTTGTTCGTTCCGCGAGTGATTTCATAATTTATAGTGACTGACCTTTGTAAATATTTGTTTAGACTGTTGACTTTATTTGTGCATTATTTGTATCTCTACTTGTGTGTTTAATTATTATGAAGGATAAAAAAATATGGAGATTGAATACACAATCATAAAGCGTCATATCGAAAAAAAGGCACACTGTTCAAAGTATCTAGTTTACACTAATCTCATACCGTATTTCATGCATTCCAAATTTATGACGACACACTCGACTTCGGATGAGTCAAACCTTGTTTAAGTCGAATACTTTGGTCTGGTCCCTTCGACTTCAACACAACGAGGTTCGACTGTATAAAAATTCTCCATTTGGTGGAAATTATGAAGTGTTGGTTTACTAATGTCCATCTGTGACTTTTCTGAAGCCATTACTTTGACTTTTACCAAAGTTTTATTGACTTTTAAATTAGTGCAGGTTTGTATCTGATGTATTCTTTTTTTTCTTGTTAGTAGATTTTGTCTGAATTTTGTAAAATACAATTTATTTTGAGATGAAAGCTTATGGGAAGAATTGGTATTAATTTTTTTTTTAATTCTATTTGTATATAACCAGTATTTACTCCTTTGTAGGAGCAAGTAAGAAACCTGCAGCAAGTAAACATATGGTCAGCTCTAAAGCAAAGAAGAAAACATCACCTGGTCTTATACCTCCTGGCAAAATACAAAGTAAGTACACCTGGGTAATGCCTTCTGGCAAAACACAAAGTAAGTACAACTGGGTAATACCATCAGCCTTTTACACAAAAGAAATGCAACCATGTAGTTTTTGTCTTGCCTGAAAGACTTAGGCATGCTGTTTCTGGCATTAGCTGCATCAACAATTTAAGTTAGTGATAAGGTTACACAGGCAAGACATATCTCTGTTTTAATAGTTTATTAAAAGATTGAAAGGCCATTTAAACCCATTTGCACCTTCTTAGATTAATACCAAATGGCATCCTACTTCCCTCAGCTACTTATACACACATACTCTTCTTAGAACAACCATTTCTTTTTGTATACGACCGCAAAAATTTTGCGGTCGTATATTGGTATCACGTCGTCGTCGTCCGAAGACACATTGGTTTCTGGACAATAACTTTTGTTTAAGTGTATGGATTTCTATTAAATTTTACCATAAGGTTTATGACCACAAAAGGAAGGTTGGGATTGATTTTTGGGGTTATGGTCCTACCAGTTCCGGAATTAGGGACCCAAATAAGCATTTTTTTAGTTTCCAGACAATAACTTGTGAAATGGTGTATGGATCTCTCTGAAATTATACCACAAGTTACCATATCACAAAGGGTTGGTAAGAATTTGCTTTGGGGGGTTATGGCTCAAACTGTTTAGGAATTAGGGGCAAAAAAGGGGAAAAAACAAGGGTTTCCAGGTTAATGGACAATTACTTAAGTACTAAACATAATTTTAAAGCAGTGTAAGGGAGGTAATTCAAACACATATTGTCAAATTACCTCCCTTACACTGCTTGTTAATTATTTATAAAGAATTGTATTGTCTTTAGGTGATTAGCTGTCAATTTATTTTTAGAAGTTACTATTTTAAAATGTTTAATAAAGGTAATTTAATTATAGCCATGATTATGTATGTGAAGGAATTTTATTTTTAGATATTACTATTTAATGTTACTGATGGAGGCTTTTTAATTTTAGGCATGATTATGATGTCATTTTCTATTTTAAAAATTATTTAATTTTAGCCATGATTATGTATGTGAAGGAATTTTATTTTTAGATATTACTATTTAATGTTGCTGATGAAAGTGTTTTAATTTTAGGCATGATTATGATGTCATTTTCTATTTTAATACTTTTATGATGAATTTAAATGGGTTTTTATGGTTGCAAAGTCCTAGCTGTCAATTTATTTTTAGAAGTTACTTTTAAATGCTGATGAAGGAATTTTATTTTTAGATATTACTATTAAAAGTTGCCGATGAAGGTTTTTTAATTTTAGCCATGACTATGATGTCATTTTCTATTTTAATACTTTTATGATGTATTTAAATGGGCTTTTATGGTAAAAAAAAAAGCATTTTTCTAGTTTCCAGACAGTAACTTGTGATTAAGTGTATGGATCTCTCTAAAATTGTACTCCAAGGTTCCATACAACAAAGAAAAGACTGCAATTGAGTTTGATGATTAATGCTAAAAGGGGGGATTCAAAAAGTTTTGGGGGGAAAGGGGGGTTTCCAATTTTATTTTAAAAGGGTTCATATTTTTTATTCAAAATTTTCAATTTCAAATTTTTGAAAAGTTTCAAGAAGAAATCTTCAATTGCACAGTATTGCGCATTAGATTTGTAAGATCTTTGACCACATTTATTTTGTGTCAGAAACATATATTATATCACAAATTTTCCCCAACTGTTCAGGGTTCGACCACTGCGGTCGTATCAGGCTGCGCTTAGCGGAGCATTTTATTAAAATTACTGTAAATTTATTTCATTGGAGGTTTATAAAACTTGTTAATAATAGGATAACATATTTTGTCAGTAAGATAAAAAAAAATCATTCAATTACTTTATAAGCTAAACTATTAGTAACCTTCTTTGTTTTGTAATCATTGAAATTTTGTTGTTAATTAATCACTAAATATTTACATGTAAATTTGTAAAACGACAATTGATATTTCAATATTGTACATCATGGACATTGTTGCAATATTTCTTTTATATGTGTAAATGCTATGTCTTTTCCACTGTATTATGTGCTGTTAGGCAGCAATCATTCAATCAATGAATCTTTTCCATCTTCTCTGTACTCCTCTATGTAAAAGATGGAAGTTTGTATACCCCTACTCCAAAAGAACATTACAGTTTGCCTGAAGTGACCTTTAGTGTCTGCATAGTTGTATCGTTATTGTAAGCTCTCCCTCTGAACCCTCAAATCACTTTTATCAAAGGCCACAGACCAGGAAAAAACTGTATTATGTTGAACTGCTGCATACTTCAGACAAAGCGCCCTATGATTAGATATATATTTTAAAACAGCTCATTTATCTTCACACAGTGCACATTAAAGACGATGAAGATATTTTACCTATGTTGTTAACAGAATTTCCACATTTACACTTATCAATGCATACCTGGCACGAACTTTGGAGAAAGGGTATTCATCAGATAGAACAGGTTACCAGAGCAAACCAGGAAATGAGAAGGAAGAAAAGTAAAGCAAAAACAGATGTAAGTACCAGTAGAACAGGTCTATTCATATCAAATAATTATTATAGTAAAAAATTGAATTTTTCAGTTAATAGAAAACAAGTGATCTAATAATTCTGAAATTATATAGCCGTATTTTCAGTATCCGTGAGTATGTTTAGATCCATATCTCTAGACCCTTACGAAATAAAGCATCTTAATTTTGAATGCATATGCTTATTATGAAATTGCATACAATTTCAATAAAAGACCAACTTTACCTTCTTTTCAATCATATATCATTAAATTAATCAAACAACCTGTCCAATATATTTGCCTTTTCATGAGTGTAATTGCATATTTACAGTTAGAGGAAGCTCAAAGAAGACAAGAAATAATGGTTAATATTATGAAGAAAGAAATTGAACATAGCCAAAGGATGGTAAGTACAGATTTAACTGAGAGTAGTCAGAGAAGTAAATTATATGGTTTTAAATAATTTTATCATAATTCAACTATTTATTGCATAGTGCTTTTCATATAAATACAATAGTTTTATTGTACCATAAATTTGGAATTTTACACTGCTGATTTTCTAAATGTTTATTACAAACAATTTTACCTCCAAAAATTAAAAAAAAAACGAAATTCACTGCTCATTAATGTTGCTCTAAGAATCTTGTGTATTGGAAAATTGAAAAACTTGGGTTAAGTTAAGTAAGTATCGTGAAGAAAAAAGGATAACTTCATATGTGCTACATATAATAACTACTTATTTGTCGAATTTGAATGTTTTTGTTCTTAGTATTTATAAAACATTGTAGAAGTAAACATTCATGTTCAAGTATGTAGTTCCTCATTTGAATGTTTGTAGAAAGAAATACAAGAGAGACAGAAACAAACAGTAGCTACAAGGAATGGTTTCCATGAACAAAGAATGCAGTCAGCCAGATCTCGAAAGTATTATGATGATTATCAAGTTAGAATGAGGTCTAAAATGATGAAGAGAAGAACAAGAGAAGAAATGGTTGGTTATTTAAGGATTGTTTTATTTTTTTAGTCAAATCCCTAGTATGAAGGGAAAGAATCATGTGTATTGATCTGTTAAGTTTAAATAACCAAATTATCCGCACAAATGTAAGTTATTTTTGGAATATATATTTTTGACTATTAAAGCATTGCATATAAAAATAAAAAGATAGGTTTGTAGTTATCATTGAGACAGCAATCTAGCAAAAACATCTAAAATGTTTGGGAATAAATAGAGGCCTTCCTGTTATCTTGAACAAAGTGTTGAAAAAAAGGTTAAAATTTAAGTTCTGTTGATGTTGGGTTTGTTTTTGCATTATAGCAATAAGGACTATTCTTCATGCATCTTTCTCAAAACAATCATTTATGAAATATATATCTATTGCTACTGTCTTTTATTTTCATAATTCTTGAGATTTATGTATTTGACAAAAATGTTATAACCTTGTTTTTTTTACGAAAATGAATATGTTTACAGATTTTCAGAAAGTTATTTAAAGATGGATTGGAAATACAAAAAGACAGAATTAAAGATTTGAGGAAGTATGCTAAGGAACAGAGAGAAAAACAAGCAACAAAACAAAGAAATGAAGTTGAATCACTGGAAAATTAGTATCCTTGTACAAAATAAAAGGAATCAGTAAGATCATGGTTGCCCCAAGAAACCCTTTCTTGGTGGGCCAATTTATTGTAGTATTGTTATGTTCATGATTGGGAATAGAAGATGTGGGTATAAGTCACCTACAGCTAAACTGTTGGAGTGTGTAATTACTTTCTCCATGAAATTGATTGATTGATAGATTGTTTGTAAATACTCAAATATATAAGCTGTATAAACATCAATGAAACAGTATTCCAACAACAATAGTGAACCAAAACGCTCGATTGTTTTTTTTTTAAGACTGTCCACAAATAATGTAAGTTGCCCAAAACAATTGATTGGTTTATTTTTATTAGTGTTTTGAATATTCTTGTAGATTGTACCATTTAGCAAAGGGAGATAAAACCTATGCTGTTTGATACATTAGACAGTCAAGAAAGAACCTACTCAAACACAAATCTTGTCTATAAAAAACATCTTTTTATTGCAGAAATAATGCCATAATATTGATTTAATCCTTAAATAGATAAAGAATGCTGGAAATTCTAAGGGAATTGATTCAAATGTTTAGATATTTGCTGTTGAATAATTTTTTTAAAGTTTGATTTATTTCAGTGAAATTATTATGTTATTTAACTAAATATTTCATATTAAATAAAAAGTACACAAAGAATGTAAATATCAGGGTAAATACTACATAATAACTTTTAACTTAAAAGTTAGGTCTTAGGGATAAAAATAAATCATGATTATCAGATGTTAAAGTTGTATTGATCCTTAACATTAAATCAGCTACCGTGACCAGTTTGATATGTTAGCAGAAAATATAACTAGTGAAAGAAAGGAGATAATGGTTAGAGATAAAGCTCAACAAAAGGTTGGTTTACATTTAATGATGAGAATTTTGTGTATACTCAAACTTTGGACTTATTTTTTTTATTTTTTTTGGGGGGGGGGGGGGGGGGGTTCAAATATTTAAAATAGCTCTCACAGTGATATAGCCTTTTTAAGCTGCTACATCATAAAGCAAACACCAAGCAATCCATCTTTGATTTTTAACTGGATTTTCGAAGGAAAAATCTGTTATTGATTTGGGGATGTATGGCGGGCGGGCGGCTGCCAAACAGTGTCCATTCATTAACATGAAAACGCTTTGACAAATTTTTTTCAAATTTATATATGTTGTTCCCTGTGACTAAATGAAGGTCAAGATCAATTTTCACGATTTTACATCAAAATAAGAAAACATTTCAAAAGGATATAGGTTATTCTATGAAAAAATTATATTATAGTTATAGTTTTTGGAAAGTTTGCTATAGCAAAAAATTTCCTAAGGCATCGGCCTCAAGCCGGAAGTGAGACTATCTTACTTTAGGATGTGTTTTCAACTCCTAGATAATGTAGTACTGGTGTTTGACAACTTATTCTAGGAAGATGCTTTTGAAATTTTGAGTTACTTCTATTTTGATTAGCTTACAGGTTGAATTAAAATGTACTGAATGTTCATCGATAATTCAAATAATTCATCTTCATTTTGAAAATGGCTATCACAAACACTACTTCGCGGATCTGCGCTGCGTGGAAAGTAAAATCAATACACATCTACTTGAGACAGCAGTTTCTACGTTATGCTTTTATCGGTATTCCCCAGACATGCGTGAGATCCATATCAACGGGAGTACTACAAACCCAGTTTCAAGGGTTTCCTCCCGTCCTCCGGTTGACGAGAAAATAAATACGGTGTTTAAAATATTTCATGAATGAACATTTTTCGACGCTTACAACTATTTTTACAATGTCTATTAAAGACGTAAAAGCCTGAGTGTATCGAAAGTATCCCGGTATCTCATCTCGGCCCATATCAAACTCTGACTATAATAAATTCGACCTATTACATAATCGGTATCAGACTATAACAAAATTCGTAATTATACTACTTGCTATAAAGTCTCCCAAACAAAGTTTGGAGACTTATTGTTTTGCTCAGTTCTTATTATTTTTCTTCTTGAGGTCGATTTAGGGGTATTTTTAGGGGCCAAGAGAAGGGAGGGATTTACTATAGAACCCTATGGATTTATTTTTTTTTTAATTTTCAAATGACTATTACTTGAAAACAGTGAGTGATAGACACACGCGGTTTTCAGTAATGATCACAGGATCATAAAACAAATCTAATGAAATATAGAGGGAGTCCCTGGGTGCAACTCCACCCCATCCTGTTTTGAGAACTTGTAAACGGTCAAGATCCCCACCCCGGAAACCATATATATTCTTTTATGGGACAATAAAACAAATCAAATGAAATAAAATGTGAATCATAGATTTTGTTCAATGAAATCTGCAAAGTTATAATATGCTAAAACATAAGATAAATATTTAATTTTCTTCATAAAATACCCCAAAAAATGGTGTCTTTGAATGAAAAGTTATGTCTGAGTAAATCATAATAAATAAATGCATGAATAAAATGAATATGCCACTCACAAAAAATGAACTTAGAATGATTGAATTCATAATCAGCCTGCAGAAACATTATGATATTTTTTGTATATTTATTAAATTCCGTTTTATAGGTGCTTGAAGGGATGAAGAAAGAATTAAGGAAGAAAATGGAAAAAGAAATAAAAGATTTACAAAGTCAGTTAGTAAGAGACGACGATGACGCTTATTTCAGACAGTTAGATGCTGATCGTGTTATACATAATCTACAAATGGCCAAATATCATGTGACTAATGTATAGCCTGTCATGTGACTAATGTATAACCTGTCATGTGATTTATCTTATAGCTATCTGTGATATATCAGTTAAAATGAGTAAAAGTAACTGTCAATCCATAAATCAATATGAAAGTATGTTTTGACAATAGGTCTAATTTTCAAACAAACTAATTTGTTTGCAATACATGTATGGTTCAGTTCTGTAATAAATAATTTCCTTCCTATTGATAATTTACTTTGAGAACAAGAATTTTAAGTTTTTAGAATGACACATCTTCATCTGTCTTATTATAATCTATGTAAGAGATGGTGTCTAATGCAAATGTGATTTATCTGCTTAGCATGACTTAGTAGGCAATCTGTAAGTGTTGGTTTTTACCAGGCCTATTTTAAAATGACAGTGCAGACATGCAGAAAACTTAAGTATGTTTTTTCAGAATGTTGAAATTAAGAGACTTTTCTACTTTTTGGATTAACTTAAACTGTAGGCTGTAGGCAGTTGTCTCACTGACTCACTTAGGGACATTCCTAGTTTTCATTTTAAATATATTGTAATTGATACCAATCATTAAAGCTTTATTGTCTCAATCTCTAATTTATTACTTAATACGCCCCTCAAGTTGGGGAAATATTGATCTACCCCTGTTTATTTTTTCCGTTCTATTCTTCTGTATGTCCATCCCACATTGGGTACAAAGTTTGGCTAACTCGTCCTACAGTTTTCAAGCTAGAGCTTTTATATAATGCAAGGTGTTAGTTCTTATAGTAAGGTTGTGCATATATCAGAATTTTGATTGTTGAAATTAGTCATTCTCATACCCTGGAAAGAAAAGTCCAGAAGCTTATCTCTTGAAATTCCATAATGAAGTAAAAATGCATTTATAATAATGATTTTTATTGTGTGATTAATATAATTTTGAAGTAAACTAATTTAACACTGGTCCCACATTTACTAAGATTAATTGTTAACCGACTTTTGCACTTGTCATGTACATTTTTGTATTATTAACATTTTTATCTTTTATCTTTTGTTATTAAACTTTGCAAAACTTCAGTTTAATGTAATTTGAAAGGGGGAAAAACTTTATCCAAGCCCATTGCAGGAGGCATCATCTTTTTGGTTTTTTTTCTTATAAAGGACTCATTTCCACATTTTAATTAATCCATGTAAATGATATTCAAAAAATATTATTTTTACATCATACATATTTATATCTTACATTTAAATGATCACCAGTTGATGTTTTGTCATTGTTTAGTTGTTCTGTGTAATTTATAGTGTGTATCATGATTTTCTGCGTTATTAATTTTAATACACATTTATTTTTGTTTTCAGTAATCAGAAAAGGAAATGCTATGATTTAAAAAGCATTTCTAGAATTTTTGCATTTTCTTTAAATGTGATTCCACTTCTTTTAAAAAATATTGTAAATACAGGCAGCATGTCTCAAAATGCATTGTAATTATAATCATAAATGTTATAAATTGTTTGATTGTACTTGTAAATATTTGAAATATTTATGTTATTTTATATGTTTGTTTGTAAAACAAATCATGAATAAAAATAGCGCCAGACATTTATTGTTTATTTTTTATTCATCTAAAGTAACAAAATGTCATCAAATATTTTGATAACTAAAAATATTTTATGGATTATTTAAGAGCATGTCTTCCAACTCAAAAAAGCATCGTATAGTCACTTAAATTACTATTTATTTTATTGCAAGCATGAAAAGTTCAATACTTCATGGCATACAATGCCATGTAAATTTAAATGAAATAAAAAAAAATCGCCATAAAAGGCTTAAGGGCTGTTCCAGAAAATACTATGTCCCCCTCAAGGGAAGGCAATTTTTTTAAATTTTATGTCAGTGGTTGTATTTGAAATACCAAAATGCAAAAATTTCTGTGGGTGGTGGGGTTAAAAAAAAGTGCCATCCCTGGGGGGGACATAGTATTTTCTGGAACAGCCCTAAAAAGAAAATACAATGTAGTTTATTTATTGCTTATTTGCAACCCCTCTATTGTTTAATACATGTATGTCTAACTGTACATCCTTCTGTCAGCCTGGCCCACACAGGTACATGTTTGTCTGGCTAAATCCTCCTACAATATTATTTTATGCAGGTTGTTAGCACATATAATAAAGGTGTGCATATTATTGTGATTTTTATTTACTAGAAATTTTCCACAAATGACAGGATGTCAACATTGTTATGGTTTACTCCCGATCGTCCCACTTTTTAAAATTTTAGAGTTCTGATTGTCCCACATGAAAAGTTCTGATTGTCCCACATTATTTTATGAAGTAAAATGTTCTTAGATAAACAATGTAACTGTTGTTTGTTTTGCTAAATAAACAAGAATTAATTTATTGCACATTTAATATTAATTTTATAGAAGTATAAAAAAAATGTTTTTTAAATCATTAGATTAATGCACTTTTGATTAAAAAAAATTTATTTCTGATTTATGAAATATATCTACAATGTTACGTTATTTATAAAACAAATTTCAATACCGTAATTTTAATTACATTTTCTCTAAAGTTTTTGAATAAATAATGCATGCAATTTAAAAAAAAAAGGTATAAATTCATTTTCATTCTACACTTTACACGAACTTGTTGATGGAGAGATTTTTCCAGAAGTCTTTACAATTTTACTAGGGAAGTCAGAGGACATTAATACAACATTCTCTGCACTATTGAAGACTACTAACACCCAACGTCAGATTCACCTGAACCCAACAACTTCCTTTTTTTGATAACGAAGCTTTTGTCTAGAATTCTGCCAGATCAGCCTTTCTAAGAATCAATATCAAAGGTTGTTTTTCCAATATTCCCAGTGTCTTTGCCATAAAGTGCAGTCAACAGGACTCGTCACCAACTATAAAAAAGAACCAGACTTCCATAAAAAAAAGATGTGGTATGATTGCCAATGAGACAACTCTCCAAAAAAGACTAAATGACACAGAAATTAACAACTATATGTCACAATACGGCCTTCAACAATGAGCAAAGCCCATACAGCAGAGTCAGCTTTAAAGGTCCCATATGAAAAACGTAAAAAAATTCAAACTAGAAAAACTAACGACCTAATTTATGTACAAAATAATGAACGAAAAACAAATGTGTTACACAGTAACAAACGACAACCACTGAATTACAGGCTCCTGATTTGGGACAGACACATACAGAACGTGGCGGGGTTATACTTATTTGAAGGCGCCAATCCTCCCACTAACCTGGGACAGTGATGTTACAGTACAACATAAGAATAAACTAAAAAAAATAAGTTGAAAAAGGCTTATCTCATCAGATGGGTACAGACAGAAATACATTTAACAAATCACAGAGTGGACAGCTACTTATACATCCCCACAACAAAGACACTAAGTACAGATCTTAGAGTATTCGCAGTTACTGACAGCTAGTTCAAAGCCAATAAAAACTAATTAAAAAAATCATGCATCTAAGACTAAAATTTTATGATTTCATATTATATTCCATGTTTGATGATACTTCAATTGTACCTACTACATGTATGTGCAAAATATAATATGTTAGTATTATTATTTGTTCATGTTTTTTTTCATATTTTATAAGTTACAGTGATTAGTAACTTGTAATTTACTGACACAAGACTATAAAAACAAATTAATCACTATCAAAACAATCCCCAATTGTCCCACATTTAAACTTCCCAATTGTCCCACAAACATATTCCCAATTGTCCCACAAAATTTCATTACTTTTTTACCTGTAATTTCAAAAAGTGGGACAATCGGGAAGACACCGTTATTTTGGGGTGAAAAAATGTATGCTGAGTACATAGTTTGTCTGGCTAACTCCTCCTGCAGATTTCAATCTAGAACTTAGATATTATGCAACACACTGACAATTTAGAACTACATTTATGCATTGCATACTTATATCATTCCCTCTGTGAAATTCGATCTTAAGCTGTTGAGATATTAAAGAAAACATGGCCTGCAGTGTATCCAACAACTTATGCCACTCAGCTAACAAGGTTATATAAAATACTATTAACTGGGTCTTCATACTATGAATCAGTTTTCCTTGAAATATTAACTGTAGTTGTTCTGCATTTCAACTTTCATTGCAAAAATAGCGAAAAAAAACTGCCTTGGAAATTTCCCTGTTTACAGTATAGGGTTTGTTAGTCGTATGATGCCTTTCTGCCAATATTCTAAAAACAGGACATAATGTTGTGGCTTGGAAATGATATATCTCTGAGTTAATCCAGTTCAATATATTGTTAAGGATGACAGTGAAACTCGTCATAGGGTTAAATAAATTTTAATTTCATACCTCTTTACTTTCCCCAACTCTATCATACATTTATATATATATATGTATTACAAAATAATTTATTTTCTAAACGGCTTGCTCAAAATCTTTCCCCCTTTGTATTAACATACAACTTTTCATAAAATTTTGAATTCTTGTCAAACTGGTTATTTCCTCCCCAACTTGGTTACATATTTTTAATCTTTATTTGTGAGAATATATAATAAAGCAACTGCTTACTAATGTACTACAATAGGAATTTGACCGGGGGTTGTGATTTAGAATTGTATAATGAATGTTTTGTAAATGGTATACATTCAAATATATAATGAGATTAAATTTGTTAACATGTCCACGATTTTAATGCAATGCAGTAGCGAAGGGGGCATTAAGGTTTACCCTTGTCCATCTATACGTCCGTACGTACGTCCTGAAATAGGTTTCTGTTCTCTAACTTTAGTTTACCTCAACCAAATGTTATGAAAATTATACACAATTCTTATTACCACAAAATACAGATCAAGTTCTAATTTTACTGTTCTTGAGTTATGTCCCTTTATAACGTTTTATGCAAGCAGGGGACATCATCTGTGTCCTCCATTTATTTTAAATAAGAAAAGCAGTTGCATTAATCTAGTTGATTGATAGAATTCAAAAGACTATTTAGCTCTTGTAAATGCAAATAAATGTTTCAAATTCAAATAAAACTAAAAACAAAACAATATAAGTTTTCATTTAACCTAAACATTTGAAAGCCATGTATGCGTAAATGCGCTGCAATGTTATCGAGTTATATGACAAAAAAAGGATCTAACAGAATAGCCAAATTCATATTTTAAAAGTCTACTTTGCATAAGGGTTTTTGGAACATTTTAAATTACTTAATGATTTCTTAATTTATGAAAGGGGAATTGTAAATCAGTATATGTTATAAATCATAGTAAGTAAGTAAGTAAGTAAGTAAATTTTATTTAGAGTCGGCATATATATACATAATAACAGACAAAACATGAGCTCTGGTGAGCTCTTTAACCGACTATCACATAAAAGTCATGCAGCATCATGCAAATACTAATAAATAAAAAAAGCAAAGTACCAGTACCGTAGTACTGACTATTCAGCTAATGATACCATCGAAGACAAACAGTCCAATAGTAGCGGTATCGACCGAAACACTGACTATTCAGCTAATGATACCATCGAAGACAAACAGTCCAATAGTAGCGGTATCGACCGTAACACTGACTATTCAGCTAATGATACCATCGAAGACAAACAGTCCAATAGTAGCGGTATCGACCGTAACACTGACTATTCAGCTAATGATACCATCGAAGACAAACAGTCCATTAGTAGCGGTATCGACTGTAACACTGACTATTCAGCTAATGATACCATCGAAGACAAACAGTCCAATAGTAGCGGTATCGACCGAAACACTGACTGTTCAGCTAATGATACCATCGAAGACAAACAGTCCAATAGTAGCGGTATCGACCGTAACACTGACTATTCAGCTAATGATACCATCGAAGACAAACAGTCCAATAGTAGCGGTATCGACCGAAACACTGACTATTCAGCTAATGATACCATCGAAGACAAACAGTCCAACAGTAGCGGTATCGACCGAAACACTGACTATTCAGTTAATGATACCATCGAAGACAAACAGTCCAATAGTAGCGGTATCGACCGAAACACTGACTATTCAGCTAATGATACCATCGAAGACAAACAGTCCAATAGTAGCGGTATCGACCGTAACACTGACTATTCAGCTAATGATACCATCGAAGACAAACAGTCCAATAGTAGCGGTATCGACCGTAACACTGACTATTCAGCTAATGATACCATCGAAGACAAAAAGTCCAATAGTAGCGGTATCGACCCAATGTTAGTACATGAAATAAACACTTTAGAAATTCCGTTCGTCTGAAGCGCTTTTGTGGATTTACCATCATCAGGATCACTCAAACCTAAACATTTGAAAACCAGGCAAGCGTAAATACGCTGCTATGTTATGAGCTATATGACCATAAAGGACTTAAGGATGTTCGCTCCACTTGTTTTTGAATTTTTGCCAGATATTCGGTATCCTCAGTTTTATCCATGTAGTGCCATTAACAATTTTGCCCACTAACCCCTACTTTTTCCTCCATAATTTAATTACATATAGTTGAAAATGTGTCATCTTTGAAAATCTTATAAAATCCTTGTTATTTTTTCATCGTTTTTTAAAGAAAAAGGTGCCAATGTT